GCTAGGGGCGTCAGTTTGATTGTTGGTAATCAGATTAGTCCCACCTCGGTAACTGAGGCAGGTGGCAAGGGGGAAGCTGGGTATAAGAAGGGGCCTTGGGCGCACGTTAAAAGGCATCTTTGCGCTTGGGGCAATGACACAGCTAGTGAGGTACTACCGAGGCGCGTCAATTGCTGGTTGAAAACTATTTCCAAACCCCCTCTTTGGCCCTCACGGGTCATTGAGAATTTCTGAAAGGGCTCCCTCTCCTCCTCGGAGAGGGCAAGGCCCTACAAATTCAATATGAAACATTGAAAATCTTTACGAGTGCAGTGATTCGGTGCCCGGGCTCATCTACACCTGTTCAAAAAAAATCACAAAAAGTACTAGAAAATTTTAAACAATTTCAATTTTTTTCTCCATGGTAGACAATTTATTGCGTGAGGTTCACTTCAAATTTTAGCTCATTTAGACATTTGAGTAGTTCTCAGCAAAGACCCCGAATTTGTTTTTTTTGCCGAGAGTTGCTCAAATGATTTGAAAATTGGGGCGGACCTCATGCATCAAATTTCCTACCATGGGAACAAATTTGGAATTCTTTGAAATTTTCTAGTATTTGTTTTGATTTTTTATTCAACACAGGTGTAGATGAGCCCGGGCTCAGAAAAGGATTTCCACTCAAAATCAAACTTTGCTTAGTTTTACCCATTTTTGCAACTTAACATTAGGATTTGTCCATGAATCTTACTCTCTTCGTCTCAAAATAAGTGTCTCATGCTTAGTACTCCCTCCGTAAATAAGTGTCTCTTGTACTAACTTTAGTACAAAGTTATACTAAGATTGAGACACTTATTTGGGGCTGAAGGGAGTATAACTTTGTAAGTTAGTACAAATTAAGTTGAGACATTTATTTTGGAACGGAACGAGTATTTCGGTTCAACTTTGCTTGGACTAGCTTTTTGTTCACATAAATCATATTTCGGTTAAAAATTCAGAACTGCTGCCCAAGGCCAATCATCTTCGAAGTTGTAGAGACCAACTGACGGCCTCTTGCTTAAAATGGAATTAGGAATTCTGATGTTTTTCTTTCAGAAGTTTGCATGTCAGACTAATCTTGATGGTCACTGAGAGATGCATCGAGTCGTAATTGGTATAAACCCTAGTCACCACTGGAGGGGGTCGGGCTTAATACAAACCCTAGCAACCCCCCTCTGAATTTGGGGCTAAATCTCTGAAAATTTCTGAATTTTAATCATCTTTGAAAGCCTCTCTAAGTACGGAGCTTGACATATCATTGTCCATCTGATCTGAAAATCTCTGCAGCAAATAAACACATTCTAGAGGTTGCCACGCTGCCAACAAGTATACATGCGAGTACAGTCTGGCAAAAGATAGTTTGGTGATTACAAAAAAGGATGCACCGGCTATAAAATTGTCTGAAGCCACTTTCAAGAAAACTACATTATTAACAGGTTTTACCAATGCCTACTGCACAGATAATGTACTTTGTACTTACAGGTTATCTTGTCATACTAACACCATATTAAATGAGTTAGGTATGATTTATTTTTATAATGTACTACAGCAGCAAGTCAAGAAACAGATCACTCTCCTTGTTGGATGGCTGCTAAATCACAGGATATATCGAAGACTAGGGTGATAGTACTTCACATAGGAAGCTGTGGAAATGGTGTATAGAAGCAACTGCACATACTATAGGAATTATTACTCCCTTCGATCCACGTTACTTGTCGCTGACTTCGTACAACTTAGGAGCAGTAGTATATTTCAAGTAAAAGGCAGTTTTTACTAAATCTCCCTTCAACTTAACACAATAGAAAAGATTATAGCGGCTAGTCAGCTTCCTCGCGAGTCCATAGTAGAGCAAGACAACTGAGTTAAGAAGTTAACAAGCAATAGACCACAGTCGTAACATGACAAATAGAACAGACGTTCATTTGCATGGTAATACGTGTCTAACTTATATCATAAAGATCATAGTAAAATAGTCTCTTTGGCTAAATCAAACTAGTATAAATTGCCTAAAAAGGGGCTACTGACAGATAGATGGAGGTCGGGGTTTCAGAGGCCATGGCTCTGAGTTTGTGTTGTATGTTATGGCATGTGGATCTCATGTTTGACCAATACATGTGCTTCTCTGGTTTAGACTTTACTATTAAATAAAATTCAATTGGTCGAACGAACAAACCGATTCTGTTAGAGTCTTGGTTTTCCCTGTGCCGTTTCGCTACAAAACTGAATCCATGACGAAATGCCTGAAATCTGACCGTGTCGAAACATGCAGAATCTGAATCTGGTTTAACACAATAAAAAAGTTTATAACGGTTACTCTGCTCCCTCACAAGTCCATGGCAAAGCAAGACAACAGAGTTATGAAGTTAACAAGCAATAGACCACAGTCATAACATGACAAACATGTTATAAAATAGACATTTTGGATAAATCAAACTAGTATTCCCTCCGCCCCATAATATAAGATGTTATTACATTCAATATGCTGGGACAAAGAGAGTAGTATATAGCTTAAAAAGGTGCTACTTACGCCAGACAGATGGAGACGGAGATATGGAGGTCAGGGCTTCAGAGGCCATGTTGACGAGTTTGTCTTCTACTAGTAAGTGTGTACGTGCAACGCACGTCTATTTGAACTAATAAGTGTGCACGTGCAACACGCATCTATTTGAATTAACACACTATACTAAATTTAATACAAGACAACTTATTCATAAATTTGAATTTTCCCTATAAAATACACAACCTCTTATTCCCTACTCGTATAAGCAATTTGAAATATCGTTTCTCCTTAATCAACATGTCTCCTGTATTAAAGACCACCCAGTGTTCACAATGTATAAAACTCAAAATTATTTAGAAGATTCATCATGATTCTCCATATGCACACATTTATGCAAGTATAATCACACATGAAAATGTCACTTAGGACAAGCTAAGGAACC